TAGATTCATTATGAATACTCTGCCTAAACAACCTATCAAAGATTAAATATAGCCTTATGCTTTTATATCATTTACTAGTTTTGGATTAGTTTTATTACAGTTAAAAAAAAGAAACTGTAATGTTTATGATCCAGTTTACTTGCATTAATGACTGTTGAGATTTACAAGTAATAAAATTATAAATGTGCTAATAATTCGGTTTTCATCTTGAACTAAAAATAGGAACTTACAATAATATTCATCCTGGACTTTTTGTTTTTTGTTTTTCATTTTGAGAGATTCTTTTTTTCAACATCTTTTTATCCTTTTCCTCACTCAGTTATTTAGTTTACCTCCAGATGCTTTGAGGAAATCAGTTTATGAAAATTTATTTTATAATTGAAATAAAAAATGATAAATGTTCCAAATGAGTAAATCATCTTACCAGTCACATTGATTCACATATAAATGTGGTCTCTCTTTTCTATGTTTTTTTTTTTGCCATGAACAAATATGGAGACTATTTTACCAAGCTCAAACATGCACATCTTGTGTTAATATCCCCCACCCCCCTTAGTTTCTTGAAGTCAAATTTAAGAACACACATTCTACAGCATCTAGAAACATAATTTCCTATGAAAACTTGTGTTAAAAGCAGTTGTCTCTCAGTTGGTGAGCAGTAACTTTATGAACTTACAATGCTGCACATAGCCTATTGTATAGTTTTGCACTAAAACAGACAAACAAAAGCAAAGTTTGGCTCTAAAAAATCAACCGGCTTGAGTTTTTGTGGATTATATATATTTTAACTAGCTGAATTCAGAAGCTTTCATCTACATATATATGAATAAATTTTCAAAAAATTGTAACAAAAACTTGCATGCTTTTGTGATTCATGGTTTATTATCAGTTTTATCAAAAAACAGTGTAACAGAAACTAGCTTGTTCTAATACTGAGTCAAAAATGAGTAATTTTATTATTTATTTGGTCTTTAGGCACGAAAATATTACAGGTCTAACAAGAAGTCAATTTAGCAGAGCAAATATAGAAATATGTGTCACGTATCAGGGTAGATTAAAAAGAAATTAATACCACTCTTTATACCTGTGTTGTTTGGTAAAGTTTGAAAGTATGTAGTCATATAATTTAAATGTATTAAAAAAAGACATGTTTACATGTATCATTAATAAAAGCAGTTATGTTTGATAGACAAGAAGGTGATTGGGTTACTAAGTCTATCTTTGATGATCAGAAACCCACTTATCACTTGTACCTAATGATGACATAACCTTGTTGAAACGTAATATATTTATAAAACAGTTTTTTCACCACACATTCAAGCCATTTCCAGACTTAGATTTATATTTGATGTAAATATTAGTTATATATTTTAACACAAGCTAAACACCTTTATTTTTTAGGATTATTATCTAAAATGTATTTAAGTATTTTTGAATCATTGTAGCAAATACAAATACTAAGATTGGAACTGTAAAACAAAACTAAATAAAGGGTTTTAATAAGAGAACTAAAAAAAGTTGTGCCAATGATTATCATTTTTAACTTTGTTCAACAATTTGTCATGAAGTATTTAGTGGTCGTCAGCACATGAAATATATTGGAGTGATCTAATGTGTTTAATTCATCAAGCATAATTAGTTGTCCTTGTTTCTTAGATGACAACATCGTCACTACCTATAAAGGACATGGTTCACCTGAGTTCATCTCAACCATCTTTGTCCAATTTAGATGATACTCTACGACCTCTCAGTGTTCCAGACTCCAGTTCAGTTTATACCAGCAGTCTCGGGGATTCCTCCTCATCTTCCCAAACCAGCTTGTATCGTTGTCAAGAAGAGTTTTTAGCTCTTGCTAAGGATGGTAAAAATACTGGGCTTTATGAGATTACTGTTGGAATCCCACTTTCTTAATCAGTCTGTAATAAGTTAAATAAATCCCTGAAACATTTGAGAAGAAACTTTCATTGATAAACATGGCAAAATGAAAAAAAAATTAATTTGGGAAATTCTTATAGTTTTTAACGCTTATGCTGGCCAACTGTGATCCCTGGATCTGTAGTTTTTGTGAAATTACATTAACATTAACACTAATACTAATTTGTTAAAAACCTTTCTTTATTGGCTATGAATGGCTAAATAAAATATTAATGTATAGATAGCCAGACCCTGAATAGCTGAATATAATACTAACGTATAGAATGCCAGACCCTGAATAGCTAAATATAATACTAATGTATAGATAGCCAGACCCTGAATAGCTAAATAAATATGAATTTATAGATAGCCAGACCCTGAATAGCTAAATAACATACTAATTTATAGATAGGTCTGGCTATCTATACATTAGTATGTTATTTAGCTATTCAGGGTCTGGCCTGAATAGCTAAATAAATACTAACGTATAGAATGCCAGACCCTGAATAGCTAAATATAATACTAATTTATAGATAGCCAGACCCTGAATAGCTAAATAAATACTAATGTATAGATAGCCAGACCCTGAATAGCTAAATAACATACCAATGTATAGATAGCCAGACCCTGAATAGCTAAATAACATACTAATGTATGGATAGCCAGACCCTGAATAGCTAAATAACATACTAATGTATGGATAGCCAGACCCAGAATAGCTAAATAACATACTAATGTATGGATAGCCAGACCCCGAATAGCTAAATAAATACTAATGTATGGATAGCCAGACCCTGAATAGCTAAATAAATACTAATATATGGAGAGTTAGACCCTGAATAGCTAAATAACATACTAATTTATAGATAGCCAGACCCTGAATAGCTAAATAAATACTAATGTATAGATAGCCAGACCCTGAATAGCTAAATAACATACTAATGTATGGATAGCCAGACCCTGAATAGCTAAATAACATACTAATGTATGGATAGCCAGACCCTGAATAGCTAAATATAATACTAATGTATAGATAGCCAGACCCTGAATAGCTAAATAAATACTAATGTATAGATAGCCAGACCCTGAATAGCTAAATAAATACTAATGTATAGATAACCAGAC